TTATTTTATAAAATAGCACGCGCGACAAAATGGCACTAATGTGGTTTCTCATGTCTGACAAACAACCAAAGATGAAAGTCTTTATTTCACCCTTTTATAGCTATGTTGAATACCTGAATATTAGGTTATCTTTTTCATTTGAGCATACAGATAACATTTCTAAACAATTAGTCCTAATGAAAGCTTATTTCAAACTAAAAAAAAGCGATTGTTTTTCAGAGCCAGACTTCAAAAGAGAACGTGTGTCTGACATTTTATAGCAGCCTACATTGGCGCGCAAAATAATTTTGGCTAAAAACCGTTTCTTTCCAAACAGAAACATGAGAAAATTGAGCTAAAAGGCTTACCTGATGTATGTTTAAAATGTTTTTCTCTTTATGGTGTTTTTCAGTGCTTTGAGTAGAGAAGTGAATAACTTTTGGTTTTGTCACCACAATTTGCCTTTGAAAATGTCTGCTGTCATTGTCTGTGTTAAAAACACCTCAGAAAATTCCTATTTTCTCACCTTCCCATCCTTGGTTTATATTGAAAACAAATAGATTCTAGTACCGTATGTCCTTTAAAATATATTTGAGGTAATTAAAAACTCCAAAGATGTACAAGCACTGTGTTTTGGCTTGCACACTTTGTTGAATTTTAACACTTAGTTACTGTTCTAAATTTCATGTTGTAAACATCTTGCCCAAAAAAGCAAAGGAGTATTTTTTATAATTTTTGATCATTTTCTAATTCATATCCCAATAGATGAAAATTGGTTATAATATAGATATGTACTAATTTAGTAAATAATTTTTTTTTTGGTTTTTATATAAATATATAGAGATATTGCCCCTTTAGGTGATGAGTGACATGAAAAAAATAGTGTCACTGGTTTACAAATAAAAATTCTCATTGAAAAAACTAATGATATATATAGGTATGCAAGTTCATTTAAACTAAATTTGGTCAATCATATATTAATAATATTTGGTTGAAAAGACCAGATTTATTCATGCAACTGTTTCTGAGATATTGCCATTTTGGTGAAAGCTCTTGAATTCAGTCACGTATTCGCCATATTGCTTGGACGTTAGGGGGGGTAGAAACATTGTAACAGCTTGCGCGTTAATGAGTTAAACTTTTTCTTACTGTTTCCTCTCTGCTCGCCACTCAAACTTCTTTTTCTTGTCCTTGTTTTTTCTACAGTGTTCTCAACTCCAGTTGGTATGTTAATGAGTCGGAACAGTCCATTTTCTGTTGATGCAACAACATGATAATCATGTTTAGAAATTCAATAATGAAAATTTAGCAAAAAATTCTTTAGTTAAAATGGGTGGAATAATAGCAGGAAAATGGGTAAATAGCAGGAAGTGGTTAAATAGCGAATCGATTACACAACAAACTATCGTATTTTAACATGAGCCATCCCAACCTGGCTGTAGGAGCGTCTTCACTAGATACATTTTTCGCAGTACTGGTGTTAACTAGGGTTGTTTAATCTAAGTTAGAATAAAATCAAACATATTACAGTCTGTTGCATTCCCTAAAATAAAAACCTTTATCTACCCATATGGCGTGTATTATACATGGATGCATGCCTTGGTACATTGAATGTAGATTCATGTTGTGCGAGTTATGGGCATAGATATCTTACATATACTAGATAGTGCATCTAATTATTCTGCAATTCAAAAATTGAAGCCATGATTGCAGACTCACGATATCCCCATGAAATGAGAAGATTTGTATGTTTTCTATTTCTTAAACAGGGAACTTAAACATTAAGTTAATCCTATTTCAAATACATTTTTAAACTATATTCAAATGATGAAAGTTTTTGTTTTTTTTAAGCGTTTATTAGCGAGTGGGAACTACCAACATGGCCGCCATCTATTTCTAACCCAAAGTTTGAACTGAAATATTAACACTGTAGTCTATCCTACTTCAACGTTGTGAGCGGTTTGATATTAATTTACCTTTTCAGCTGCAAATAATGCGATACTGTAGGTGCTAAGCAACCTGTCATCGTCAATAAATTCTTGAAGGAATGGAAGTATATCATTGTCAAAGTAGTCTTGGTTGTTCTTAAGTGCTTTTCCAAACCTTATAATTTCTCCAACGGAATTTGATGCTTCCACCATAGCATCGTCTAAGGCCTTCTCGTATGGTACTTGCTCTGGAACAGGATTCCTTTGTACTTTAACGAACGGGATTATCACAGCTCTTGAAGTAGCTCTTAAATTGTAGAGTACAAAATGGTAAATCAGTGGAAAATACAATATTCGAATTACCTCTAAAAACTGCTCAAGTAAGTAATATGCCATTACTGTTTTCATTTAGGTATTATCAGTAACTATCCATCTTGCATTTTAGCTCATGGCAATACACAATTTAATGGCTGGTGTTTTCACAGGATGGATTGCTACAAGTAGAATGGGCGCAGTCAAAGAAACGTCAGAAACATTCCGGCTCGCTCGGGCTACAAAATGAAAGGATTCGAAAAAAAAGAGCATTACTAAACGAAAAGACCAGTTGTTAGATGCACACGTTCTCATACTTACGCTTTGTCGATATTTAAATCTGCTAATACCCAGTCATTCATAGTTATTATCAGTGATGTATTACTGTGACAGAGTCTATTGCAGTTAGCCACTCCTGCACCGTTAAAAATATCCAAAAGTAGATCTGTCAGTTTCTTCTTTTCCTCGGATGATCTCCCAGCATCATCAAGCACAAAGGGTAATGTGCACTCATCTAAGACTCTAGTCTGCATGGCGTCAGTAATTCTTCTATAGAAAACTTGTCTTCGCCCTGTTACAGCAAGCATACCCTTTGATGCACCAGATTTTCCGACATTTTTGTCCCCAATTGCTATGCTTATCGGCACCATTCCTTTTGCCTTCAGGCATATCTGAAAGTTGCTACCAATCATTCCTTGACCTGAAGCAAGAACAAAGTCGAAGGAGTGTGATGGTGGGAAAACACGAGTTTTACTAGTAAGTTTTGATGAACCCTCCGGATTTCAACAGTTAACTCATGTATAATTCACCGTAAACTATATATTAAGCGGGGGCTTATTTTTTCAGACACCTTTGAGAAGAGAGCTTAAAGGCGGAGGGGGCTTAAAAGAGAGGGGGGCTTATTTAGCGGTAAAATCATAGAATATATTTTGCGATGGATAAAACAAATCAATAACCTAAGAAAAGACATTTGCTTGTTTTTATGTGAAAAAGAGGGGGCTTTATTAGAGGGCCAGATACGGACCTATTTTGCGTGCTTAAACGAACAAATGTGCACCAGGTTAAGAGAGTGTTTTTATGTACACAGGCAGCATGTAGCACCTAAAACACATGCATGTGTAGGAAGAAACAGCCTCTAGTGAGTAGTGTGATACTGCGGATTAAGGTAGACCGTTAAATGCGAATATTTGTCGCGTTAGTTTTAACTGTTGTACGATGACGTTTCTAGGCAGATTTTCAGATGTTTCTAAGGCGTGGCTTCAATGTTTATTTTCAAAATTTGAACGTTGTAATTATAACGGTTAAATTTTGAAAATAAAATTGAAGCCACGCCTTCGAAACGTCTGAAAATCTGCCTAGAAACGTCATCGTGCAACCCGAACCATTAAAACTAACGTGACAAATATTCTCATTTAATAATTACCGGAAGTTGAGCGACTTTTTGCCACACCGTCACTGCGCGTGCTTTGATTCAATTGAAGGCAGAAATGGCATAATGCCTCTCTCCTCCGTAGAGGCTTCTGTTGACTTTGTATGATTACGATTAATAGTGAGATACATTTCACTACACTTTACATGGCGGATCTTGGAACACGAACGGAGCCGCTGGGCGAAGGATAATGCTACTGTTTGAAATGATCGTCGTCATCGTTTGGTACAACCGTACAAGTGCAAGCCAAAGTACGTAAGCAGTATTACTGTACAGTCAGTAAGAATATAAACTAAACAATAAGAATTATATGTACCGGTAGCAGTTAGTTTTGTTGTTTTTATTGCATAGGCATTTATTATTGTTCAAGTGTTTGAATATACAGGACGTAGTGTGAATTGTCAATTTGGTCAGTGATTCTTGGGTGCATGTACACAGGCTTTTAGCCAGAAGGGCGTCCAGGGACGCCCCTAGAACGAAAAGTAGACGCCTTTGGACGCCCACATTCTGGGGGGAAAGGGAAATTATTTTCAATTATTTCCCTAAGGCTAAGTATATTAATATATCTGAAACGAAATAGCTTCAATTCTCATTATTATTATACATTTGACATTTTGATCAATTTGATGGTGTACTGGCTGAATGAAAATGTCATAGTTAAGTAAAGAAGCATGAAAAATTTTGTGTTTGAAAAATTTCGAACAAGCTTGGAACAGATACGACATAAACTTCTGTAACGTAAACTTCAGAGATTTTCCAGAGGAATGTTTTCTCAAACCCCCCCCCATGTATGTATTTTTTGTAACATCACTGTTAAACTCACCCAAAAGGAACATTGAAGAAAGCCAATTTCCTCCAAATGCATTTCTCATTGCTTGTACCAGGTTACAAAGACCACTGCGACTTAGTGGGAGGTTTATTTTGCATCGATGGTCTGGCTTGGCAATGTCATACCAAACAGGATCGTTCCCACCACGTTTTGGTTTATAAAGATGAGAAATCCACATGATTTCCTGCTCTTCTTGCGGAATCAATTCACCATCTTCATTAATCTGGCAAGCCTCGGACAAGATCCAAATATCTTTTTCTACTGCCTTCCCCACCCTACTAGCAGCCAAGACATCTGTATTGTGTCCTTCAGTTGTGCAATCTCTGTACAGATGGCAGCATAAGGATATTAGTATTAGTATTTTTAATAAAATGTAACACATCCATAGTTTTCAACTCATAACTGTACATTGTTTGATTGACCCTTCAATACTCATTGGCAAAACATGTCAACCATGATATGCCATGTGCAGTATCATTATATTTGATAAAACTCATCCTAATTAGTATTTTTTATATAAAGCTCACTCTAATTAGCATTCTTCATTTTACAGTTACTAGATAGTCATAATTGTTATATTATGTATTATTTAATTAGTATATATAGCTTTTATATAGAGAATTAATAGATAAATGTCCCCAAGGAGCTAATATTGCTGATATATATTTAAAATTGCTATATGCATTTACCTGCCTCGTATCTCATCCTGGCAAAGCAGGATCATATAAACAACTCCTTATTCAGCAAACGCACATGCTGGCTTTGTTCCATTGGGGTTGAGGCAGCACTTTCCTTGCGATAGTAACTTCTAGTTTAATTAGTATATATAGCTTTTATATAGACAATTAATAAATAAATGTCCCCAAGGAGCTAATATTGCTAATATATATTTAAAATTGCTATATGCATTTAAATAATAATTACCTATAATAGGATGCGATTGTATCTTGCAGAAATTCAAGGTATTCTGATTCTTTTAATAACAAAGTCAAGTTGCCTAACCCTGTATTTCGATTTACTTCCTTCAAAAAGTCTTTCTTTGTTTGCAAACCTTCATCAGATACAAAACACTTACTATAATAAATTAAAGTAATAAAAAGTGAATCAGGTTTGTGGTTAAGAAAATAAAGGGTTTTTTTTCAGGGCTTTCAGCTGGGGATGTTTTTGCAAAGATGACCAAGTTTCAAAACCCAATTCAAGATGAAGTTTTTGAAAAAAAAAGCCCTATGTGAAACCCTGGTTACAAAACATGTTTTGGTTACAATGGATTTTGGTAAAGATGTTGATAAAGGCTATTCCTTTATGTTTTGTACACAAATATAACAAACCTTGTGTAATCTTAATTATAATAATCCTGCAGAATTAATCTTCAATATATAATACACAATAGTGGTACCCTAATGCATATTATAATAAACCATCCATAAAACATTAACACTTCCATAATTTGGATGTCCAATTTTAATATATTTTGCTATTATTAGACCTCCACCCTCCAGCAGACAAAAATTTTTTTCATGGGGGGGGGGGGGCAGTTATTGGAATGGGGAATGGATTTTTCCTGGAATGATTAGGCCAATACCAGCCTCCTGGATGACAGTGGATAGAAACCTAGGTGCAAATCACACTAATTCATACTGAAACAATGCTTGAGAAGATAGACAAAGTAATTTTGTTATCAATGATAAACAAGGTAATGTTTTTACTTGGCTATATAGAAATGGTGTGCAATATAGATAATGCAGTACTGCCAGAACAGTACAGGAAACACTGGGACTGCAGATCTTAGAGGGGGAGGGATGCCCCTCACGTTTGTGAAATAAAATTCAAAATGTTTTTTTAATAGGAACAATTGTGAACAAATTACATTTTTGTCTTGCCCCCTACTTTTATAACACGCTCCGCTGTTCCCAAAACAGTCAAATTTATTGCATATCAGCCTATCAATTTATAGCAGTAATGGGATTTATAATGGGATTTTCTATACCGTATACTGTCATCAAAACATCGCTTCACTTCGATCACGAAGCCACTTGATCCACCTGTTGTAACAACAACAGTGAGGAAATTTACGCCGAATGAAGACTTAGGCAAAAAATTTTCTCCGCTCAGATAGCCAATACGCCCATCTCTTTGAACAACTTTTGCACCCATATTGAAATCTATACATCAGGAAAAGAAATAAATATATATCTGAATTTATTTGTTAAAAAAATCCAATTTAATAGGTTGAAGTACAATACAATATTAAATTCTCACTTACTGTAAACGAGAAAAATGTTTCAAATATAAAAAAATTGCTTTCTTTTTGGTTTAATCAAGCGTGACAATCGTACTGTTATTTTTATGTTCAATATTTATCCAAATCATAAATAAAAATCTACCTTTGCCCGTGAACTGTCGTCTCCACGCTTGAGCAATTTCCTGCACCTTTTTGAAAAGTTTCCCTCGCTTTCAGTGTTTCCACCTGCCCAAAAACTGGATTTCCTTCTCTTTTTTCTTCTCTTTTCTCTTATACTTTCTCTTGTACTTATTTTTTAAATTTTTTACAAAATTTCCTTCCATTCCAGTAGATACAATACCTCTGAAACAATACAGATGTTCGGCGAAATATGTTAGTCATACTTTGTTAATGTTGCTAAGCTTACTAGATCTTATTAGACGCCTGACCCTACCACTGCTGGTTAACCTCAACAAATTTCTTGATATATTCACAGTTATATCCAGCATTGTTTCGGGCAGCTCACCTGTATTCAACCAAAATAGATATCTTTGATTTTCTATGGCCTGAAATATATCTCTCCCTCTGAAGGTAAAACCATGGAATTGAGGATCAAGACGAGACATTATATGGCATAGATCTGTGGGGGAAGGGATTTGAAAAGCCACAAGTAGTAACATAAAATTCACGAGTAATTTTATGATCTGTTCATTGTTGTTAAAAACATATGGTGGTGTAGGTGGTATGGCAATAATAAGGGGTAAAATAAACGTTGAAGCTCGGTTTATGATATTTCACAAATACTGTCTAGGCATGTCTTCCCCGATGTTTGTTGTTAACCCAACTTTAAAAATGCTGTTTAAATGATATATATGTACAATGAAAAAAATTAAAAATCCAGTCAACCCACTTCACCTTCTGACTACCATTGTTTTGTGTAATAATGAATAAAAAATATTAAACCCCAAGGGCAAAATTTTTGATTGGTTTAGAAAGAGCATGTTATCTTTTGTTCATTTATAGCCAACAGACGCTCGTAGGATGCTATCACGCCTTGGGTGTAGACAATTGTGTGGACGCCCCAAGTGTAAAAGTGCATTGTCAAATGAATCAGCTTCAATTATAATAAAATTAGTGTACATCTATTTATTGTGTCTTGCGTTGAGCTGCGCGTATATAACTGTTTTTTCTTCATTCTCTGGCATATGTAAGTGATGGCCTCAGTTTGGAGGCCCTTCGATTTCGAAGAGAGTGATGAGGATGATATAGAGTTGCAAGGACAAGGTATAATTTTAGTTTGACTAATTTTAATCGGTTTAAGGTACAGTGGCCGATAATTTGTGAATTAGATTCTGATTTATATTGCGTTTCTTTTCTGCAGAACCGCCTAAGAAAAAGCAGCGACGCTACCAGGTGACAGAATTTGAAATATCGTTGGTATTAGAGGCATACTACAACTGAAGAAGGCCAATCGAGCAGAATGTCTTTGATCATAAAGGACAGTAAAACGCGTTATTCTAAGAAGTGTGACCCGGATCAAAGGAAATTGACGAAGTTTGAACAATGCCCAAACCTTAATGACAGCAGCCCTTCAGAATCTGTGGACGAACAACACTACAATCGATATACGGAATCTAATAACTCCGACAATAATACATCTGACACACCGCTTACCACCACGGCAAGAAATGTCAGGCAACCCAAAATGACACACATCCAGCATACACCCATGAAAAAGAATAAGCAACCGCAGGAAAGTTAAGAAATGAGGCTAATAAAAAGCACGTACAAATGTGCACCAAAGCATTGAATGTTATGGACAAGTTAGATAAAGTCCTAAATACTTTTGAAATCAGCGATGATGATACCGAATAATTCTATCTTCTTTAATTTGTTTGTGTGAACTATATATATATATATATATATATAGTTAATTTTTGTGATTTTAATAATGAACATTTTTACCTTGTATGTTTGGAAACAAAAACTGTTTTAAGTTGTGTAGTGTGAAAGTTTTTACATGATTATAAAATTCAACACATGTTGTCATGATTAAAGTACCATTGAAAATTGCCGCACGTTAGTTTAATTATATATTCATGCATATTAAGCATTTGCCACTATAGTAGATCATTTGCATATGGAGTGGAGTTATGCTAAAGATCTCTACTAAGATGCTTGTGTAATGTTACTCTGAGTGTATATCCACACTGGGCATATTTTCCAAGCCTGCCGGTGTGGATATACACTCAGAGTAAACATTGTCATTGACATGGTATTCAAGTAAATGTAATACGATGACCTACAAACTGTACCTAAGAGATAATAAATTTTAATCTTGAATTCAAATAAATTTATTGAAACAAAGGCTTTGTTATTAAAAGCTAGTATATGTCGATTAGTATTATGCTAACAGCAAACTTCGTGCCTGTTATTATCCTTTTACTTCAATTATGGCACAAAAACCAAATATCACTCATACATTCTGGAAAGTCATATATTACTATCCATATCAATAAAACTCATTGCGGCTGTCTGCATGTGCACAGGCTACAATGTATGGGCCTTGAATAAATGAATAATTAAAACAATATTACAAAAAATTCTGTCAAATTCTGCGACACCTGTATATACTATGAGACTATACAGCACGCAATCTTTTTATATTAGAAAAATGCTGTTTTTATATGACTATGTTTTATTGCAGATTAATTTTCATATAAAGATAGATTAGGGTTGAAATTATAGATTTAATATAGACGAGCATGCTATAAATGTGGAACTAGAGTTACTATAGACAAACATTTATATATAGACATGATATTTCATGATATACTGCACAGAGATATATACTTCATGTTATTTATAAAATAACCTGTCTGCCTATACTGGCTACAGTCATAGAAAGAATAAAATATAGTTGTATAACTAAATTTCGTGACAAATTGAGCTACGAGATTTAAATTGAAATATTCCTATAAAGAAAATCATAAATAGACATGCAAAAACTCGGGCCTTGTATGAAATGTTGCGAGTTGAAACCCCAAAATAGTCTAAAATTGCATCGAAATAATACATTTCCATGTTAAATCGTTTGCCCAAGGCCTGTTCTAAAATTTCGACCAGCACACGTCATATTTATTTGTGCATGCTGATTTTGCTGACTTGCAGTTCTCACGAAAATTTGATGATACGGGGGGTGCTAATGGCACAAATCCCCATATTTCTTATCTCAGTAAACTTTTAACATTGATGTAATGTAGACATTTAAACATTGATTGTCAAGCTAAATCAAATTTTAAGAAATTTTACTATTGCTATAAATACCGTTTTAACGTTACAAATTCTCAAACCTTGAAGTTTTTTTACATATGGCATTGGGATAACATTTGCAACTCCCCCCGGAAAGTTTACTCTATGTATCTCTCTCTCGAATTTCGCCACTCAGCACAATAGTGCAACGTTTCCATGGAAACATTGCACTAAAAACAGCTAGAATGGCAAATACAGCTGTCAATAAACATGTTCACTCAGTTACTGGTACAACAGAGCAATCTATTCCACGAGAAGAACTACTCCAACAATCCATTTGATATTCTACGACACTCAACTCTTTATGTTTGCGATGTTACTCTGAGTGCATATCCACACCGGGCGAGCTTGAAAAATATGCCCGGCCACGGTGGGATTCGAACCTACGACCTTTGGAATACTAGCCCAATGCTCTTCCAACTGAGCTACACGGTCAGGACGGTTCGAGTAAGTGATATTTCGGAACAGTATCTAGTTCCTTCAATACCAAAGTGTTCTAGTAATATGAATTTTTTTTTCTGTGTTGTTGTTGTGTACTCAGGTGAATATTATGTTTGCGATGTTACTCTGAGTGCATATCCACACCGGGCGAGCTTGAAAAATATGCCCGGCCACGGTGGGATTCGAACCTACGACCTTTGGAATACCAGCCCAATGCTCTTCCAACTGAGCTACGCGGTCAGGACGGTTCGAGTAAGTGATATTTCGGAACAGTATCTAGTTCCTTCAATACCAATGTGTTCTAGTAATATGAATTTTTTTCTGTGTTGGTGTTGTGTACTCAGGTGAATAATATGTTTGCGATGTTACTCTGAGTGCATATCCACACCAGGCGAGCTTGAAAAATATGCCCGGCCACGGTGGGATTCGAACCTACGACCTGTGGAATACTAGCCCAATGCTCTTCCAACTGAGCTACGCGGTGAGGACGGTTCGAGTAAGTGATATTTCGGAACAGTATCTAGTTCCTTCAATACCAATGTGTTCTTGTAATATGAATTTTTTCTGTGTTGGTGTTGTGTACTCAGGTGAATAATATGTTTGTGATGTTACTCTGAGTGCATATCCACACCGGGCGAGCTTGAAAAATATGCCCGGCCACGGTGGGATTCGAACCTACGACCTTTGGAATACTAGCCCAATGTTCTTCCAACTGAGCTACGCGGTCAGGACGGTTCGAGTAAGTGATATTTCGGAACAGAATCTAGTTCCTTCGATACCAATGTATTCTAGTAATATGAATTTTTTCTGTGTTGGTGTAGTGTACTCAGGTGAATATGATATTTGTGGTGTTACTCCGAGTGTATATCCACACCGGGCGAGCTTGAAAAATATGCCCGGCCACGGTGGGATTCGAACCCACGACCTTTGGAATACTAGCCCAATGCTCTTCC